CTGATTTATGCTTCCTTCAAATATATCTTCACATCTATGTACACTATTTGTCTTCAGATTTATCCACTAACTTCTTCTGCTTCTTCTTCTCAACTGCTTCAATGTACATTGCTTCGCGTTCTTCTGGGGAAGCAAGTATCTAAATACATAATATTAGTTTAAATCAAAGCACTTAGTCAGCACGAGATTTCTCGCTCAGACTATAATTATTTACCCTATCTCGGACAGCTTTGTAATCTCCTTTGCCACTCCATAATTTCTTCACAAGATCTTCCGTATGGTTGATTGAATCGTTCAACCCCATGAGTAGCGGATTCTCATCGAGAGTATCCCAACCTTTTAGCAGGTTCATCACTCGTCCATATTCAGCGTCTGTTACAGTCTAGAACTATATCATCAAATAACCTAAATGGCTATTTTGAGAAAACAACCATGTCATCAGGAGGATACAACGCTGCTGCAACATAACGACCCTCAGCATTCAAAAAATTGAATGTAGCTATGGCGTCCTCCTAAATTTCTCAAAATTATAAACAGGTACGAAAAATTTACTACTAGACGTTTCAGGGATGTGAAAAATTGAAAAACTCACTGTATCCGAAATCTCAAGACCGATCTTATGCTCTCCAAGAAAACCGATGATCTGAGATCGAACCCTAAAGACTGATTAGATTGTTTTCAGTGAGTGGATGGAAGGATGGTAAAATTTACACCACTATAAAATCAACGTAGATGTCAACTTATAAAAAATTCAAAATTGATGTATTTCAGTTGAGAAGCTTGTTTGTTCGCTTCACCCAAAACTAGCCAATGGCCTACAATTCCAAAAAGTCTTATGCAATTGCAAATATCAGGATTTTATTCAAGAGGCTTCAGAGGCCAGATAAGACAGCATACCTCGATACTGCAGACTTGAAAAAAAAAGAAAAAAAAAGCGGAAGTGTAGGTAGTAAAGGAATCCTTGTGAATAACGAATAAAACGAAGAACTAACAAGTCAAAAAAGAAAC